TTTGTTTCATGTGAAGCTCTAACGCCCCGCACCAGCTATTGTCAGCTAAGTGAAAGAGTCTGTCACGAGACTAATTTAGAGCGATTAGAATATGAATCGCATTAAGTGCTAGACAATATACCTTATATATATGTATATCTCCAAAGTTGACTCGCCCTGCGAAGACGACCACGACGATGGCACGACGAGGAATACAGCGAATACATTAAAATGATAAATGAGTGCGATTATATTCGTATTACCTACAAATTAATATTGTGGCCATAATCAGCTTTGGCGCCGCGCCCAGGTTAACCGAACCGAACGCAACCGGCGGGTCAGCGATTTATTGGCCAGCTAGCGAAATTACAGGGCAGCGGGGCATGAAGGACTCGCGCGGCCAAAATCAAACATAATCAAGCGAATTGGGTACAGTTCGAGTTACGTTTACACGTCCACACCCACAAAGCGGCCAAGGGGCAACCAGTTGTCGCCCAGTGTCAGTGTCAGTGGGTTGGTTAAAAATAATCCGAGCGTTACGTGTTCCCTTTTAACCAAGGACAACGACGGACTATACAATGCAATATACACCAAGTACATACGGTTACGAGCAGTGGGTAAACATCGTTTGTCAAGAGTTTTGACTGCTCCACTTGGACTCAAACATTTCATATACCACCTAGATACATATATAGCCCGTCTCTCGGGGGCCACACGCCCCCACTCCCTCTCACTCTCTTACGCTCCGATATAACTGGCTACAAAATATTTGTTGACATTCCCCGGGAAAATTACCATAATTAGTTGATTCGAAATAGACCAGAAACAGGAAATTTCTGTCCTTCGGTGTTTGATCAGCGAAAGGGGGGTGTGTGCTTGTATGTGTGTGTCCAGGTCACGGCATCGATGTCAACATAATGCGTAAAGGCACTGCCCACAACTAAAAGGATCATAATTAGAGCATATGTACGGATTGTTGGCAAATATTGACGTTCATTCCGCTAGCATGGAGTAAGCCCTACGAACTCTCTACCTCCCGCACTCCCACACACAACATTCATCAGCATTTTTGGGCGGGCTCATAGAGGCAAATTATTCAAATTGCCAACGATATGCGTTCATAGAGCTATTCAGACATCTGTGTAGAAGTTACTACATATAAAGAATCGAAAAATAAATCGATCTTGTTTCATTTCAAAAATTCTTGTTCAAAGTTTCTCATAATTACAGTATTAAGTCTATCATATATATATATGTATGCATCTCTATCTCTCTCTCTCCATCTCTGTCTCTCTCTCCCTCTCATTCTTTCTATCTCTCTATGTCGATCTCTGTCGATCACTCTTCTTCTCCATTCTTTTGTCTACCTCCCCACTGTAAAAACATTATGCTTTTAAATATAAGGCCTGAAAAATATTTGTACAAATATTGATGACGATTTCTATTATAGAAACAGCAATTATTTCTCTTTTAAGCTCATCTATACCAAAGACAGCTAAGATTCCAAATGAAATGAATTTAAGTATTCCTCCCAATCCCAACTATAAACCACTAATTGCTATCAGAATTTCTTGGCGCCTGCCCGCAATTATCAACCAGAGCTAAAGCGAGGGATTAGGACTGCTAAATGACTTTAAATTAAGTCGATGTGCGTCTGTCGATTTAATTAAAATCAAAACAAAATCTTTGCCCGTCTCTCCGGTCTTTCGTCCCGGCTTTGGCAACGACGAGTCCAACTGACTGGGATAATAATAAACGCATAAATAATGCAAAACAATAAATGAACAAATATTCATAAATTATTAACGCAGGCGCCGACTCCTGCCAACTCCTGGCGACTCCTGCAGGGGCTGACAAAAGGCAGTGCACAAAATACCCAAAATATTTTGCCAAAGCATTTAAAAGGACAATGAGGCACGCACCCAGATGACAGGACGAAGGAAGAACAGCAAATCCCCGCAACAAATAATTGAGCCTCATAAAGAAATATCATTCATTGATTTTCCCTCTACCCAGCTGCCTCTCTCACTCTCTCGCTATCTTTTTCGCTCTCTCTCTGTCTCTCTCTCTCTCACTCACACACACACCAACATACTCTCAGCGCAGCAAGTGGATGAAGCTGTGGACGATACGAAATGGGGACAGCTGATGAAACTATCACCACGACGAGGGGTTGTTTTTGCGGTGGCCAGCTTGATTTTCACATGAATTCGAAATCTATGCCTCGGCATGATTTGCACAAAAACTTGAGCTGGCAAATTTGTCAAGAGAGAGAGAGAAGAGAAATATATGGGTGGAATGGATGGGAGTCAAGTTTGAAGGAGACATGAAGCAGAGTGGAATGATAAATTATTGGTGGATTTTGTTAATTTGCTGACATTAATGCCCCGGCCAGATTATCATCGAGTGTCGTCTTTGGTCACAACAAAGGGAAATTGTTATCTATATTAAATGAAATAGATATCTACATCACTTAGTATAATATAAAAACCATTTTGTACTCAGTAAAACTGTAAAGTTAAGTTGTAAAATGTAAAAACTAAAATCGGTTGGGAGAAAACTAATACATCATAGTTTACTGTTCGTTAATAATATTTATTTAATTTATTCATTTAATTACATTTTCTCAATTTGCCTTACGCTATATAGCATGTCATATGAAAAAAGTGTAGGTAGTTTCAGAATAACTTTGATATGCGCTAAAGTGAATTTATTTGCTTATAAGTTTAAAATTCAAATTTCTTATCAATTAGCTTTCGACAGCGCACAGAGAACATAGCAAGCAGCTTGTGTGCGGCGTGGCTGGCATAGCTATCGATATGCGTGTGCATCGATATCGGTCAAGCCAACTCTAATATTTGCATCGACGCCAATTGTGACGACAAAAACAAGCAACTAGAAATTAAAAACATAAATGTAAAAGTTTAACATCAGTTTAATTGGCCATTTTATTCCAAAATGAGTGCCTACAATCGCAAAGTATTGAAAAAACAGTGCTCTATCAGAAAATCTCTGGATGCGGATAGTGCAATGGAAGAATCTGGCTACGCATCCTTCCGAGTGCAGCACAACTCGACCGTGGAGGCGCCATTTTTATTTGAACGTGATAGCGAGTCGGAGAACTGTCGCAATGCGCCGAATACAACGACGCAATCTCACTCCAATTCGATACAATTCCAAACGCCGAACAGCACTAGCTTCGACGACTCTGTCTCTGTACCTTGGCACAAATCGTTCTGCCTGCCCTCCGTCAGCTGCGTGCAGCTGGAGGAGAGCGAGGATGAGGCTGCGCAGGCTTGCAAGTCACCGCTGCTGCTGTCTTCAAATCATCCACAATGCGCGGCCAAGCGCCGAAAGTCACATTACCAGCCGATGGCTCATCACAGCAGTCCCAAGAAATCGAAGAAGAAACTCTTCCCGCAACCCGCGGTGGACTCCATTTGTCGCACCCGCTACTACGACGGCTGTGAACACCTGGATATTGTGGGCATGCTGAGTAACACGCTACCAGCGCTAGAATGCATTCTGTCGCACGTCAGCTCACACACGCTGGAAAACATGACCAAGGTGTCGGACCGCTGGGCGCAGGCGGTGCACAGGAGTAAGCGAGCCACAGAGCGCCTGCACAATCATCGCTTCAAGATGAACCTTACCAAGGAGAATGTCCCACAGCGCCTTAAGCACGTGCGAATGCTGTCTAAGTCGCTGAACAACAATTTAGTGCCATTTCAACCATCCAATGCCATTCAGAGACCAAACAAAGCCCACGACAGCCACAGGATCGCGCCCAAAGATGAGAACTGCCCGCTGCTCGTGGAGCAACTGCAGCGTATAAAGTGTCCGCGCTGCGGCAAGTCCAGCAAAGTATTCTACAGCCAGCCACCGATCGAGCAGACGCTGAAACTAAATCGGCAGCTGTCAACCCGAACTGCTCTCTCACAGACGTTGCCTCTCGCAAAGTCCTTCAACGAGCCAAAGAGCGGCGGGCTAACGCGCTTCTATTCGCTGGACGAGGTGAAGAGCTCGTCGATTCCCCAGAATGACGGCCCCTTGCAGGCCTACTCCATCGGCGAGTGCACTAGCGTCTTCTGCAAGTTCCGTTTCTGTGTCCACTGCTGCTGCCCGCCGCATCCTGGCGCCAAGTGCCTAGTCACAGAGATGGGCACGCCCTCGAAGGTGATGATGCCCAGTGAGAGAGTTACGCCGCCCAAGCGCAATCAAAAATTCGACTACAAACTGAGTCGCAAGAATTCGCTAAAGCGACTTAACTTTTAGGCAAAGAACAAAGGAACACACAGATAGCACAAAAAGCATTAAAAAATCAACAATTTATACATATATGTAGTGTTAGTCTTAGTTATATGAACATTCAACTGTACCAAGGTTTTTGTTTTACATGTTTAACTAGTATTATAATCGTCGACATCTCATCAACTACGAATGTTCACATTTTTTAACGTCATCCAACGTTTGTATTTCTCTTTACTAGTAACGTATGCTCAACATTATTGTACCTCTGTGAGATTAAATAGATCTAAGAAACTTTTTATATTATATGATAAAGCGGAAAATAAACAATTTTGTAAAAAATATGTCTAATTAAATATTGATTTTGTCGTTTAATTACAATTAAAAGTAGGCTCATGAATATTATTAAATTTGTTTGGTTTAATAGCTTAAATTAAGTGTCACTACATCATATTGCGCAGTTTGTGACGTCATTGCGTATGTCTTTCCAGCTATCGATTCGACACTCGATGATTGCACTCGCCGACACACCTATCGATATACATATTTTATCAGTTACCGCCGCAGCACGTGCGAAATAGTTGCTGCACATTTTACAATATTTTTCGAGTGTTTTTACACATAAGAACGAGCTTGAGAAAATGGCAACGTCTTTGGCTCAACAACTCAACAAATTAGCTGCACCGCAGACTTCTATTCCTTTAGCGGATGCACGCAGTCGTGCCTCAATATTGTTCAGCCCCAAAGATGCGGCGACCAAAGACAGGCGCGCCATCTATGAGATCGGACTCAGCGGTTTGCTGGAGCTGACGGCGTTTAATCCTACATTTAAGGAGTTCCAGCTGACGCTGTTTGATGAGGCCACACTCACGCTGGAGCGCGCCGTGGAGAATGCAGAAGTCAACAAGTTGCTGGATGCAGCTATTGCGAAGTTTCTCCGTCTTCTTTCACCTTATTTTCTGCTGCGCCCGGCGCACATGTGCTTTGAGTGGCTCTTGCGCCGCTTCCAGGTGCACGAGTACAATCGGGAGGAGGTAATGGCCCTGATAATGCCATACCATGAGACGACCACATTTGTGCAGGTGGTGCAGACGATGCGACTACGACAATCGGACGAGAATTGGTTCTGGCTGCGTGCGCTGCAGCGACCCGGCGTGCCGCTTGCCAAGACCACAATAGTCAATCGGGCTGCCAGTGTGCCCGGCTTCCTCAGCTTCATCTGCCGCAGCACACGCAAAGCGGTCAAGGAGCTGGGACCACGTGCCCATCAGCTGCAGGCGCAGCTCAACTTTTACTGCACAGTTGTTGTGGGGGCGCTGCAAACGGCCAAGCCAGTGCGGGATTGGCATATTGCCACCATACTGGAGTCGCTGCTCAAGGGTCTCATCTCGGACACCGTTGACTTTGTGGCCGCTTCCTATGTGATCGTTGCCCAGCTCGTCTCGCGGACCAAACTCAAGAAGAAGATCTGCGATGCACTGCTCGAGCGGGTGGCCAACTGCACCTTCGAGCGACTGCACACCACGGCACTGTTGTTGCTCATATGGATCCACGACAAGCAGCAGGCAGCCCGGCCACAATTCACAGAGAAAACCATGTTGAATCTGGTCTGCCAGAAGTGGCTAATTACGTCGCTGGCCTCGCTCGCCAAGGAGAACATTGCCGTCTCGGCCATTTGCCTGCCGCTAATGCGTGGCGCCGTTGCGGCCATTAGTAAGGGCTCTGCATCCGCATCTTCGCATCAGGAGTTCCTCGACAATCTGATCAGCGAGGTGCCCTTCTCCAAGCTCAGCGCCCTGCAGCTCATCAAGTACAACTTGAACTTTGACCGCTCACAATTCCAATTACTTATTTAATTTATCCCCTCTTTCAGTTGTTTCCTGGACACTTTTGTGGACATGGAAGCTAAGAATGGAGTGACGCCCATGGACACGAGCAACAGTGGCGAGGCGGATGACACGATTGTTATTGACTCGGACGATGAAATGGAGCCAGTCAAAACCAATTTCCAGACTTGGTATACAGAGTTCCTGGAAAAGCTGGAACGTCGCTACCCGGAGGCCTTTGACTTGAGCGTAAAAGCTTCGTTAAAATCCAAGTCCAAAACAAGCAATCGCCAGAAGGCTTTAAAACTGGCATTGGGTAAGTAACGCTTGAACGAGACGGTTGATTTTAGTGTGAAGTCCCACGAAGCTTACCACTTACTATATATATATATATATATATATATATATTGGGAACTTTCCATATTAATTATTATATAACACACACTGCTTTCACAGGCTTTCGACTAAACACCTCGGACGACAAGGCGAAGCGTGCCTACGAGAAGCTCTACCATTACAATTCAGATATTCGACTGGGCGCCTTGCAGCAGCTGCTGCAGAATTTGAAAGTGCCTAAGCGGCGGGAGCGGAGCTATCACCTACTGCGGGAGTGTCTGCCGGATCGCATTAAGGACGACAGTCCTCCTGTGGTATCGGCGCTGCTGGCGCTGCCCACAGTCGACTTCGTGGAGATGCTGGGCGCAAAGTCATTTGCCCAGACGCTCTGTGAGCTGCTGCAGCGGGCGCAACAGCAGCGCCAAACGCAGTGGGACGTTGTGGTGCCGCAAGCGGTGCAGCATCTGACCACCGCCGCCGTGAGCGACAATTACGATGCGAATCTGCTGCTGCTGGCCCTGATGCCCTATCTGTTTCCCTGCGATGCGCTGAGCGCCAGAGAGCACGCAGCTCTGCTGATCATCTTGAGCAGCAATTTCGTGAGCAAGCTGCCCTTCCTGGAGCGGCTGCAGGTGAGCAGCGAGCATGCAGCGTTCAATGTGTGGGAGCATCGCAAGCAGTTCCTGGACATCATTGCGGACGTGCGACAGCCGGGCAAGCAGCAGTTGGCGCTGCTCGAGAGTGTGGAGCAGCACGGCGGCATCGACTACCTGCGCGGCGAGGCCTCCAAGCTGACGCATCTGCTGCTGCTACTCACGGCCTTTTCGAAGCGCGAGCTGAGCGCAGCCGAGAGTGTGCAGATGCTGCAGCGCCTGGACGTCTACAGTCGCGGCTTTCAGTTCCGAGTGGCCAAGGAGAGCAGCGACAACATCCATAAAAACTTTGTGCCGCTGCAGCTGTACGCGGACTTCCTGCAGACACTGGCCAAGAATACAAAGTTCTCCCAGCTGGCCGGTCTGCCCTGGACGACGGTCAACGACGAACTGCGTCTGTGCCTGCTGCTCTTGGATGCACTCTGCAGTCGAGTCTATGCAGAGAACTGTGCGCCCGCCGAGCGCAGGGAGTGGACGCGCGCGCTCAAGGATTGTCTCAACCATGTGCTGCCGGAGGCGCAGCAGAAGTTGGATTTCCTGTGCAATTTCTATGTCTACGAGGAACTGCCGCAGCTGTACAGCATCGCCTCGGACTACGCGCTTCTGCGCGTGCGCGGCTTTCAGCTGCTTCAGGCGGTGCTGCGGCCACGTCCCTTTGTCGTTAAGTGCAGCCTGATGCACGTGCTGCGCATCGCGAATGCATTGAACTCGCCGCTGCAAACGTTGCGCCAGCAGGCGCTGGCCACGCTGCAGCTACTCGACCTGAAACAGCTGGAGACGCACGTGGCCCACCTGGTGGAGTGCCTGCTGCTGCGCAAGAGCGAACTGTGCATGGACCACGAGCAGTACGCGTTGATCCTGCACACCATTCTCCAGAGCAGCAAGAGCACGCCACGCGAGAAGCTGCTGCTGGCCAAGCTGCGACGGACGCTGCTGGAGCTGGTCTGCGATGTTGAGCAACCGGCCATTTGCACGGCGGCGCTGCTGAAGGCGCTGAAGCACATGAACAACGAGACGCTGCTGACGGCGCTGCTGCCGCTGGGTGAGGCAGCGTTGCGGGCGGTAGTCGAGCATAACCCCAGCTCGGAGAAGCCGCAGCTGGAGCAACTGAATTGGCCCCACAGCGTCATCTATTGCGCTGTCATCGAGCGCTTCGAGGGAAAGGCGGGCAGAACTGTCCTCACTGAGAATGCCGCCGCTTGGCAGCTGCTGGAGGCCAGCTTCAAGCGCCACACCACCTACGTGCAGCTGGAGCAGAAGCTGCAGCCGCTGCCCTGCGTCCTGCTCAACGCGCTGACGCCAGAGACCTACAACCATCTGCAGAGCAAGCACCAGGTGGCGCTGCTGCAGCTCATAGTGGAGGCAGCGACTGCATCCGACAACGATAGCATCTTCCTCTCTGCCAATCGGCTGCTCAGGCACTGCACCATCGAGTGCCAGCCCCTGGTCAGCATGCTGTCCAGCATGAGCAGCAAGAGCACCCGTACTGTTGCGCCCAAGCAGCCGGATAGACGTCGCTCTGGCGCACCGAATACCAAACTGGATCTGACCTGCGTCAGCTGGAAACAGGGCATGACGTTGCTAGAGCTGCTGGAGCACAAGAAGCAACTGGTGGGCGCCGAGCTGCTCATACCGCAGCTCTTTGAGCTGCTGCAGATGTGCCTGACGCTGGAGGAGCACAGCTCGGCAGAGTATCCCAAGCAGCTGATCCTGTCCAGCCTGCTGCACTGCTGCGAGGTGTCCCAAGCGGCGGGCGTGCAGCTGTCCAAGGTGCTGCCCGAGTCCTGCTTCCGCATCGAGCAGGTGGTGCAGTGCCTGCGCAACACCCAGAATCCACAGACCCAACAGCACGCGCTGCTCTTCCTGACCCGCTGCGCTGCTCTGTATCCGCAGCAGGTGCTGCACAAGATCGTCGAGATCTTTACGTTTGTTGGCTCCACAGTGGCGCGCCACGACGACGCCTTCAGCCTGCACATTATCCGGAACGTGGTGGAGACCGTTGTGCCCACACTGCTGCTGCAGTCGGGCGAGGAGCGCGAACGCCTCGTCATAGCTGTGTTGAAGGTCTTCGCGGACATCTGCGCGGATGTGCCAGTGCATCGTCGCCTGCCTCTGTATGAGACGCTCTTCCGTGTGCTCGATCCGCGCCAGCATCTCTGGCAGTTCCTCTGCATTCTCTTCGAGTCGCAAATGCTGCTGGAGCAGACGCCAGCCTCAGCCGCCGGCAGCAAGGCGGGAAAGCCTCTGGACAAGACGCGCATGGAGTTCGCTCGCGAATTGACGTTGATTTTCGAGCAGCCGGAGGTCATCCTAGACACATGTGTGCATCTGTTGGACTACCTGGCCAAGCTGCCCCTAAGCAAGGAGGCCCAGGCCCAAGCGGCCAGCGCAAGAGGAGCAGCCAGCAGCAACGTTTCGCCGGAGCAGCAGCTCTTCGATTTGCGTACGCGCAGCTTCAAGCAGCTGCGACACTACAAATATCTGATCATGGACTACCTGTCAGGCCTGAGCAGCACATCCGAGTTCCAGGACAAGCTGGACAACCTGAAGCAGACGCAGCTGGCGAAGCTGAAGCCGCTCTACCAGAACTTCATACTCAAGACGCTCGCCTATGTGAGCGTGGTCAACAATGCACTGAAGGTGGCAGCGGGCACGCCCTCGCTGGAGAAGTATTGGCGCGTGCTGGCCAACCATGTGCACGACGTGCTGGACAATGCCATCGGGCTGCTCTCGCCCGACTACTTCCTCCAAGTGATCACCGAGCTGCTTCAGCACGAGCTGATCTATGTGCGCATCAAGGTGCTCGAGCTGCTGATCACCAAGCTCTCGCCACCCGCCGACTACTTCGCCCAGTGTGAGGCCGAAAACTTCGGCGTGCTCTTCGAGCCGCTGGGAGTCATCATTGACAGCGTCCTGGACGGTACAGGCGGCAGCAATGCGCAGCAGGCGCAGCTGCAGCAGACGGCACTGCAGGTCATGCAGCTGCTGGCCCATCGACATGGACGCGACTATGTGGAGGAGTGCCGCACGCTGCTGGCCAAGCTGACGCGCATAGCCAAGCGGCGCGCCAACGTGCCCAAGGCGGTCGTCGGCAATGTGGTGCTGACGCTCGTCGAGATCTGTGGCAGCATCAAGTCGAACGCCCTCGCCCAGCTGCCCAAGTTCGCGCCACAGCTGACCGAGCTGCTCAAGGAACAGGTCCAGCTGCTGGTGAGCCAACGGCAGACTCCAGACTACATCTGCTCGGCTCTGGTCACAGGTGAGGCAAATCTCTTTTCCATACAAATTCATGTTCATCAAATGTTTCTCTCTCTCACTCTACCCAAACAGCCATGCACAAGCTCTTCCTCACTCTGCCTTTATTCCTGGGACCCTATCTGGTGGACATTATTGGCTCACTCATAAGACTCTCCGTGCAGCTGGAGAATCCGCAGCTGCTGCAGGACAAGCGCACGCAGGCGCTCAAGCTGCGCATCGTGGACGTTTGGTCGGCGGTGGCAAAGGGTGTGCAGGCGCGTATTCTGGTGCCCAGTTGCGCCACGATTTATGCCAGTCTGTTGGAGGCGCAGGCCTACGATGAGCTAGGCTTGCTTATGCACCAGTTGTTGCTGCCCTGCATCAAGCACAACGGCAACGCTGAACTGGTGGTTGTACAGGAGCCGCTTTCCGAGCTGTTCCTGCAGGCGCTCGAGTTCCGGCTGCAGATGCGCGGACGTCAGCTGCCGCGGCAGCAAGTCGCCCAGATTGAGGCATCAGTGAGCGAGGCCTTCGTGGCCTGGATACTCAAGCTGTCCGAGACGAGCTTCCGGCCCATGTACGGTCTGGTGCACAAGTGGGCGATGGAGCGGAATGAACTGGAGCCGCAGCTAACCTATTTCCTGTTGACCAATCGCATTGCCGCGGCGCTCAAGTCGCTCTTCGTGCTCTTCGCCGACGACGTGATTGCGGATGCTGCTCGACTGCTGCAGGAGCACAACACATTGCACAAGGAGATTGTGGACGCCGAGGACGTTGCCGAGCTGCTGTCAGCGGTGCTCAGCACATTGCACCACGTCTTCCTGCATTGCAGCGGTGACTTCATCAACGATCATCGCTTCCACCAGCTGATGCCGCCACTTGTGGATCAGCTAGAGAACAGCTTGGTGATAGCCAGCGACCGCGAGCAGCTGCAGCAAACGCTGACTGATTGCATTGCCCAGCTGGCGGCGGCTACCAATGATGTGCTGTGGAAGCAGCTGAACAACCAGGTGCTGCTCAAGACGCGCACCAGCACGCCCGAAGTACGCATCCTGGCCTTCAACACTAGCGTGGCCATTGCTCGCAAGCTGGGCGAAAGCTTCGCCACGCTCCTGCCCGAGACGGTGCCATTCATAGCCGAGCTGCTGGAGGATGAGCACGAGCCTGTCGAGAAGAACACACGCACCGCTGTGCAGGAATTGGAAGCGATTCTGGGCGAATCGGTGCAGAAATACCTATAAGCTCAACTCTAAAGCTAAACAGATATCTTATCCGATTTATAATTATGGAAACATCTATGATCATGTTTCTTACATTTTATGAAAATAACTTCTTTGTAAACTGAAATTACCCGAAGCACGGTAAATCCATAGGGCAACGAGCTCTAATTAACCTATTTATAAGCATGTATGATTTATAATTTTAATCACAGACAAATAATAAAATAAAGTATTTTTGCAAATTGATTGGTCTGTGTTTAAGGTTTTTATTTCTAGGTGTTTATGCAGCATATGTGTAAACTGAAGTAGGATCGATTGCTTCTTTTTTGTTTTTAGAGATTAAGCAGATTTATAAATTCACTTTTCATGTATTTTCAGCACTATGGGGATGCAAATTTGTTTAGTGTAATATATATACATATTAGCATATTAAATATGTAGATAAATAATTCCTTGTTGCACAATTTTAGCTTAGCTTTCAACCTATAAACTTATTGCAATGAGCGAATGAAGCCCCCCCAAAAAAGCGAAGCTAAAATAATACAAATTTCATTAATTGTTTAGGAAAATATATTCTAGTATATAAATTTATAATTTTTCCGCAATTATCTTAATTAATTTAATGATCATTAATGTGAGCGTAAATGAGTTGAATAATAGTTCGATTGTTGTTTTTTAGTCTATGCAAGCAAAGTAAACAAAAGGCCATCGAATATTTTTTAATAGTCGATTGCACTTGAGTCTCCGCTCCGTATTTTGTTATGTGATGCGCATTCATTAGCCAAACTTGTCAGAAAAGTTTTACAGCTTCCAAGAATGACACCTAATTTAAATAATTAACAAATATTATGAATCTTGAGTTTATAGGAATATATTTCGCATTGAGGCAAACTAAATAAAATATTTTCTTGTATGTATTTTGCTCATCTCTAAAAATTTTTGTATTCTCTAAAACTTGAGAGCTAGAATCAGAGAAGCAGGCGAATGTGTTGACACTTAATATCAGTACAATCTAAAATTTATTTTTGATTTAAGAGAGGACAACATTAATTATACTTGAAAAACTACTCATAAATTAGATATGAAACTCAGTTGACAAGATTTGTACATAAGAAAAAATAAAAAAAAATAAATAATTGTATGCATACCATTATCTTGTTTAAGTGCCCACCTAGTTTGTGTTGCAGTTGATTATCATATGGAATATGGAATCTGACATTCTTTATGAAAAATTACAACTTTTATTAGTCTTTAGTTGTTGCTGTACAAAACGAAAGCAATTAAGCATAATTTGTTAACTTTAACACTGACAACACGATGCTCATATTAATTATTGCTTATGTATGAAAAGTTTGGATGCTGTGAATTGTTTTGGGTATTATCCTGGGTCTGTTTGTCCACCGGCATCTCCGGATCCTCTCGCTCCTCCTCCTCGTCGATAATACTGATGTCGCGTATGGAGGGACGACGCCAGCCAGTGAGATTCTGCTGCGTTTGCTTCGTCTTCGTCAACATTCGGGGTCCAGTCACAGAGATGAGGATTGCACCCAGTGGCGCCGTCAGTAGAATGCTAAGAATGCAAACCGCTTGAACGATCTGGGCCCAATTCCGCTCGTCGTCTGTGGACTTCTCATTCAGATGCCTCAGAGCGACGGGCCCCAGAGCAGCCTGCACCGTCGCCTTGGCCATCCAGGAGAGACCCACGAAGAACTTCTCCTTGGTGTTCAGCCGATCGCCGAAGGCAATGCCAGCCGTGATAAAGATGCGTATGACGACGCCTGCGAAGATGCAAAGGGCACCCATGTAGAGCACGCCCGAGTCCAGCTCACGTATCTTGATCGTGGCGCCCGTCACGCCAAACAGAATGGGCTCGAAGATCATCCAGAAGATCTCGAAGGCCGTCGATACGGGATTGTCGTCGATGGTCCAGCCATCCTTGCACCAGTAGTAGTTCGATATGAAAGATGAGAAGACCACGCCCAGCGGGCCAGCGCCCTCAAAGCCCAGCTCCTCGCTGCCATAGATAGCCACCAGGTTGCCAGCGAAGAGCATGAGCGTGCGAAGAGGCACCACATAGGCATCGCCCCTCTCAGGAAAGATGCGCGCCAGCAGCCCCCAGATGACCCCAAAGCCCAGGCCGCCAATCAAGCAGACAGGCACCTGGGCTATCAGGTACAACTGCCCACGATCCGAGAACATGATGGTGCTGATGATGCCAAAAACGGCCACCGAGATGGCGTCGTCCACTCCAGACACTGCCACCACCAAGGTGGGAATGCCCTTGGCCACGCCGTAGCCCTTGGTGCGCAGCCTGAAGAGGCAGGGCACGACGACGGCTGGCGCAATGGCCGCCATAATGGAACCCATTAGACAGCCCCAGATCCAAGGCAGGCCGAGCAAATAGTGAGACATCGTCGCCAGGACACCAAACTCCACGATCCAGGGCACGATGCCCAGCTTGAGAATGGTCTTATAGACCTTCTTAAAAGCTTCCGGCTCCATTTCTAGGCCAGCTCGAGTCAGGATTATGGTCAGGGCAAACTTACGCAGGTGCGCTGTCACCTTGGAGAAGTCGCCATCGAGATCCACCCAGCCGACGTTCTGGAAGCACAAATTGATTATGAAGGTGAAGGTTTATAGGTGAATGAGGCTTAACTCTCACCTGAAAGAGTAGTCCTACCAGCAGCATGCCAATGAGGCGTGGCAGAGTGGTCAGTGATATTATGTAGCCACCGAAATTGGCGGCCACTGTGAGCACCACCAGACCGAAGAGTTGCCCGCCAGGGGCAGCCGCATGTCCAATGATCACAAATGAGACGATCCACAGTAACGCACCTGCAGAGGTGAGAGATGTCTTAGGAGGGACTCTTTAAAGGAATTCAGAAACTCACCAATTGCAATGAGCGAGACCAGGCGGGAGAAGGCCCTGAAGGTGGGGCAGAGTGGATAGGGAAATACCTTTTGCCAGAAAGGCGGCTCCCATGAGGTGGATGGTTCGTCTGTGCGACACTTTAAGCATAAATTGTAGATCCACGATTGCTCCACGTAATTGCAATTGCTATGCCAGGATTCGTGTACTGTCTGCAGATTATTGTATTTGGCATTAAGCACGTCCAGCGCACTCTGTCTGTAGTTTTCTGTGGGAGAGGAAGATTTAAATGGGACTTTCAAATTAATATATACAACAATTATCCATATATGTCTATCAAAGCTCTTCACTACTCTATTGACGTCAGGAATTAGCAAGCTCGTCTAATTGGGTGATAAGTGTGGCAGCTGCATACGATACGATCTGATACGATCCGATACAAAGATCAAAATTCTGACGTTCCCCTTCTATCTAATGTTAATTGTTAATATCAACTATTGGCAGAAGTCAAATTTAATTGACATTAGTTCCATAAGTGTTCTCTGGCCCTCAATAGGTCTTTCTGATTATCAATGCTATCATTATTATTATCATCAATATTATGGTCTACATGCGAATTATATGCAACAATTATTGTATACTACAGCTAGTCAAATATTTTATGTTCTAAATATATATAAAATATATTTTATTTACATATAAATATATTACATTTAAAGCTTTTATAATTATTTCCTTACTTAAATATATTTTTAATTAAATTCTCTCAAAGTAATTTTCTATTTCTTATACTGATCCGAGGGTATATTAATTAGAAGTTTGAGTATTATATATACATTATATTATTATGATAATTTATATGTATATAATCATCAATCATTAGATAAGCCAGCAAATTTCTCAAACTTCAGCCTTGAACTCAATTTTAATAGATTACAGAGTATCTATAGTCGCAAGTTTTTGACTAATTAAAAAATTAGTCATTGATTCTTAGACGTGACAGGAACCTTAACACAGATATGAATCACATTTTGGCCATTCACGAGATGCGCTAAGATTTTTACAGCCATGTCCATATTTTATAGAGACCCCAGTTTAGCGATTATCTGACAGACTGTATGTCTCGAGCACAAATATTCAATTTACTCATTGCTTAAAAAGTTAAATTATTCAAAACGTAAAATTTTCTAATAAAAAAGTTAACGATCTAAAGTCTATATTAATAGATCATTTTGAGTCTATAAAGAGCACACTAAAAAATCATTAAAAAACTATAATAATAAATTTATTTTCTAAATATTTAATAATTAATAATTAAAATTGGAAAAAATATTAATATAATTATATGGTATATTTTATTATTTTCCACTTACCAAAACTGTGCATAGATATACGATCGACACTGTCATTGTCGTTTGGAAGTGGGGACTCCTTCAGGATGCTTCTCCTGCGCCCAAGCGGTCCATAGTCGAGGTATGAATGCATTGAGGTCTGTCGCGAAACGAGATCGAATTTGATTTGAGCATTACTGAATATTTCGCGAAAAGCCCCCAGTAGCTTGAGCACTTGATCTTTTATCACTAGATCACACGGATTATTTAAAAAATTACGAGCATCTTTATAAATGCCGTCATTCAATGAATGCACTCTCACATATATAGGGGATGTGGTACGAATGTTCAATCAACAACTTTACGGTCAATCAAGCAAGTCGTTTATCGTTAATCAACCCCAACTCACCTGCGATATTTTACGCATATGGGCTGGCTCAAAGGCGGGATTATCAAAGCCAGAATTACTGGATGCCAGCGGCGGAGTCTCTGGGGCAATGCTGACACGGCGCTTAGGCTGACTCTCGATGACAATGGAGCTCCTGTGGCCAGGCGAGGGGGTCTGCGCCTCGGTGGAGGCCGTCGGCACGTTGATGGTCAGCGGAGTGGGTCTGGTGGGTCGGCCGGTGGCTGTAGGCTTCATTGTCGCCGCCGGGCTGCCCTCGTCTGCGTTGGTCGTCATCGTTTTATGACTCTGCAGGTGGAGTTGCGTTATCTTCAAGTGCAGCTAGATTCCAATAGGTTTATGGGTCTTTTGAGCCCTATTAGCGCTACGGCTGCTTACTATATAGTACATCACACACACACGCACACACACAGTCGCCGCTCGGCACGTTTATCGACGGTTATGCGAAACGCGAACTTTACGACCAGCTCGTTCCGCGTTTAGCTTGCAAATAAATCCAACATCAAATGTGACAATCGATTCTGAGCTCGGCTTCGACCGGGTTACGGGCCTTTTGGTGGGCTCGATGGTACCAGCTCTACAACTGTCTCCCTCTCTCTTTCTCTCTCTCTGAGTGTGTGTGTGAAACGTGTTAAGGCTTAATGCAAACATTTATGATTTTTATACAGACTACAAATGAAACTTATTCGAAAAATTTGTTAGTTAATTTGTTAATAATTAGCTATAATTTGTTAACACCTGAGAAAACCGGTGCCAGGGCATCATGAGTCCAGCGAGTCTGCTCGGTCAGCGCGCAGGTGAGCCTCGCTCTGTCACTTTCGATCAGCTTTATTTGCCATTTAATTGTGACGCATTTTATCTAAACAAATTCACGTGAGCGCCCCGCAGACAAGCGTCTCATATTAACGAGGCTAAATTAATTATTTAATGAAATTTGTTACTGTATCGCTTCTGTTTTCTGTGCTTTTTGTT